TCTCCCAATATGATGCTGTTTGTGTCTCCTCTTCCATCTTCCTGAAGAATTTCTTCAATTGTGTCATACACTTTTTCCACTTCATCATCTTCATACTCTGATGTTGGCATGTACACTTGCATAATCAGTATATCTACCGGTTCCGCCTTTAACTTCAGAGCAATAATTCTGTCATTACAAACAATGTTCTTAACAACACTCCTCACTACACTTTTATGCATCACTATTGCCACACCTCTTTCAGCCCGTTCACCTCCAGAATAATACACTGTATAATCACTTCTTCTTATTTCACTTTGTCCTTTCCACCGCACTTCGCTGACACCTAGAACAGACACCTCATTCTTCTGCATTTCCGTTTTCAAATTCTCCAATTTGCCTGCTTGATTCAAGGTCCTTACATTCTATGTTCCACTCTTGTAGCCATGATGTTCACTCTGATCTTCGCACGATGTGGAATATGTCATATAAATACAAAACATATGTACAGACCCAATGGAGTTCTCACATAAGATAAATCATGAATACACAATGACTAGATACAAGGCTATTTAAAGTTACACAAGTTATTTTCTAGACAATAGGTGTTCATCAACAGAGTATAATGAATGTGTATTTAAGTACTGTTTCAGTGCTATTTTAAATCATGCCTTTTCATTCATAAGACCTTTGAGATCAGATGGCAGGTTATTAAAAATGTTGATCCNCCATACAAGGCCAGCGAACTGAAAAAGAAAAGACCATAAGATACACCACAGTTCATAGTAATGTCACTATACTGGCCGTGCCATAGCTCAAGCAGTTAGTCGCTGGCTTCCCGGGCTCAATCCCAGGTCTGGTCAAGTGGGATTTGTGGTGGACAAAGTGGCACTGGAGCAGGTTTTCTCTGAGTACTTCAGTTTCCCTTGCCAATCTTCATTCTACTAATTGCTCCACCATCACCCTCACCTAATATCTGTGGCTGGTACAATAGGCCAGAAGTGGCCGCAGTAGGACTTAGTCCCACCCCACTAGCATTAAAAAAATGTCACTATACTACTGTATCATTTTCACACACACAAAGTGAAGACATGACAAAAACAGACAGTAGAATAAAAGTTCAATTGTCATGTAAAGATGTACCTGAAGAACTACAAAAAAAAACTGACTTAGCAGTGTTTTATGTAAGTGCTGCAGATTTCTGTAGTTCCAGTTCTGGGGTTCTGAAACTACACTTATATGTTCAGTATGTCACCAAAATGTTTATTCTCCTTATTGCACATTAATATTTCACTGTGTCCACTTTAATTAATTACCTTTTTCTTGCACTTGGTTATGCAGGATGAAGTTTCATCATCTTGCAAACTTTCTACGGGGAAATTCTTGAGTGCTTTACAATTCTCTGCAAGGAAGGGGATTTGCTTCTTCTTCAGAAACTGGGCTTTCATGACATCTCTTCCATCCTCTCCATAGCAGAACTGTTCAAAAAGACAAAAAGAAGAAGAGTACTAGGTAACTCATGATCATTATTTCACTTTCCACAATAACTGTTTTATATAAAAACAAACAAAGCTATCTCAAAAACAAAGTCATGACAATGTGAGATTTGATAATTCTGAAAATGGAAGCAACACTTTTCTCTGACACACTGGTACCCATCTGCCATTCTATGCAGCATCACATTTCAGGTAACTGTAATTTTGAACTTACCGCCATGAGAACCTCAAACCTCACACTGTATGTTGATGACTCCATCTTCAGGTTTATCCCAGTACTGATATATAAAACTACATGGCATCACATTCCAGAATACCATAACTTTGTGATGAACAATACAACAAAGAATGTGGCATTAATTTTATAAAACACAAGAATTCTATATCTGAAATTTTCTGAAATATAAACAATTATAATTGTTTATATTTCAGAAAATTTCAGAAAACTTAAACATTTGCACCATCCTTGCATAATTATGCAAGGATGGTGCAAATGTTTAAGTTTTGCTCCCCAGCCAAGCATTTTGTTCACATTTAAAACTTGGACACTGCCTACTGGTATTGTCTGCCATATATAAAAAACCACAAGGCAGGTGAACAGATTAACATTAAGAGCTCTTACTAAATTGGCTCAATAAAACTCTTATTGGAAAAATGTCTATTACTTTACATGAAATCATACTTTGGAACTTTTTTACATACCTTCTGAAGAAATTCAAAACCCAACACGCTAATTATGGACCATATCAACCAATCAGGACTCTTATTTTCCTCAGAAACAAACATTTAAAAAATAGCTCATACATTATTCACAAGATCAAAAATGTCAGCAACAAATTTTGTAGAAATCAAGTGACGTGTATATTTTAATTCATGAAACATAAACTAAGACTATCAGGACTTATTAATTTCTGATCTTTGTGATAACAATGTAGAGTTGATAATATGAGAAAACATCTGACTTCATTTAACTTCTGACAATGTGTTCTGTCTCATTTGTGATGATCCTGGACTTCTTTACACAATTTAAATATTGAAAAAACAAGAGAGAACAGTGGTGCACAGTTACAAGCGTGAACCTGATGGTCAATACTATAGAGATGCACGTGTATAAGCAAATGGTGAGATTATTTAGTTAGAATTCTTGCCTTTTCTTATATTTCAGCTATACTCAGTTACCTCACCACAATACAGTCATTACAGATAAGGAGCATAAAAAAGATTTGTGCCAAAACGTTTCCAAAAGTGATGACAAATGGACAAAAACTTAATTAAGCAGAAAACTGTTCTCATCTCCTTCTAATAATTCAAGAGAATTAAAATCTTTTAACACAGGTCATGTATGATCTGAAGACCAAATGTAAAGGCATTCAGTGGGACACTCAAGTCACCAAGTAGTGTAAATGTGAGAATAAAAATGAAGATATTGTTGAACTGCTTAATAATATTAGACTCTGCTCCAGAAGCTATGAGATCCTAAGCATGAATTCTGCTTGTAGATCTTTCAAAGAATAACAGACTTTTGGCCACATTACTATGCATTTCATTGTAATATTGCATTACTGCACATGAACTCCTTCAATAAAGGAATTGGTGGAAGTATTTTCAATCATCCAACCAGAGCATCTGCTGTACTGAACACATTTTATCCCTAAATCCCTGAAATTTAACTCCTGTAGATGTAATCCACAGAGCTGTGTCCAATGCTCTCACTTACCTGAACAACACTTCCATCACTGTCCCTGACAGACAAATCATAGCAAACCACTAAACCCTCCAAGTGTTTGACCAAACATCGTTGAAGATATCCACTCCTGCTTGTTTTCACAGCTGTATCAATCAAGCCCTGCAAACGAGTAATGGAAATATTCACTGCCAGCACAACCGTTTAACACAATAAACCTTGGCAACAGTGTCAAAAATTGTTTACAAAATGCCTTAGTAATTATACTGGCTATGGGCTGGATGACACAGGGGTCAGAGTTCGAGTCACTGTGGGGACAAGAATTTTCTCTTCTCCATGTTGTCCAAACCGGTTCTGGGGCCCTCCCAGCCTCCTTTCCAATGGGTACAGTGGGCGCTTTCCCTGGGGGTAAAGCAGCCAGAGTGTGAAACTGACCACTCACCTTCAACTAGTGCTGAAGTCAAGAAGATATGGAGCTATACATCCACTCTTCTATATGCCTTCATGGCATAGTGCTTAATTAGTTCAACAAGGGAACAACTTTACCTATACAGTACCTTAGTAATTGTATGCACATCTGGCTCAAATTCCACTTTACACAGCACAGGAACTAGCACGTAAATTTAAGTATAACGTACTTTACTTTTTTTTTTTTTTTTGCAGTTTTGCACATCTGCTCTTGATGTACATTACTGAAAAAAATTACTGCTTACATGGGGGGCACGCTGTAGCGTAGTTGGTTGAGGCACTATGCTACAAGCCAGAAGGTCGCGGGTTCATGAGGTCATTGGAATCCTTCCAGCCGCACTATGGGCCCTGGGGTTCACTCAGCTTCTAACAGAAATGGGTACCGGGGTGGGGTAAAGGGCGGTTGGCACGTACGGCTGACAACCTTGCCGCCATCTATGAGCTGATTGTCTAGAAAATGTGGGAACCTCAACATCTCACAACCCTAAGGGGCTCCACGGCCTGGTACAGGGATAGCTTTACTTTACTTTACTTTACTTTACTTTACTTTACTTTTTACTTACAGAAAGGGGTGAGACTAGCTGCCATAAAAATGCTGCCCAGCATTAAAAAATACAGGCAACAAGGGCATGATACTTTCAAACAATAAAGGCCAATCCTTCACAGGCTACGTTTTTATGATCTAGACCAGTTCTCATTGCTGGATATTTTCTACGCTCTTCATTGCTCTGTAGGACATTCATGACTCCAAATACTACTTCAATGCTTCTAGAAATGGAAATTCATGGTACTTGATCTGCTAGCACCCATCCACCACTAAAACTATTTGATAAAGAAGCTACAAACAGTTGATAGGAAGTCAATCAATCAATGCAACTATAGCAGCCCTTGACAATATAGGTTCTCTCAGCACAACACTAATACAGTAGCACATATGAATGCAATGTTAACAAAGGACAGAAAATAAAGTACAAGATGATTATGAATGATGAAATGGTAAGGACATATGAGGAAGCAATCACAATGAATTTTAAACTCCTATCACAAAATTTGAAATTCTACATTTGGAGCATGGCTTTGTATGGGGCTGAAACTTGGACACTTAGGGCAGTAGATCAGAAATACCTGGAAAGCTTCAAAATGTGGTGTTGGAGAAGGATGGAGAAGATCAGTTGGACCGATTATGTGAGAAATGAAGAAGTGTTAATTAGAGTCAGTGAGCAGAGGAATATCCTACACGAAATAAGAAAACGGAAGGCTAATTGGATTGGTCATATCTTACGCAGTAACTGCCTTCTAAAAGAAATTATTGAAGGGGGGCAAATTAAAGTAAGCAGAAGACAAGAAGATGTAAGAAGATGCTGGATGACCTTGGGGACAGAAGATGATATTTTCATTTGAAGGAGAAAGCTCTAGATCGCATTAGGTGGAAGAAATGTTTTGGAAGAGACTGTGATCTGTCGTCTGACAGATTACTGATGACGAAGATCATAAAATTGCCGGGGGAGAATGAGGAAAACCACAAAAACCTGAGACATAATAGCCTGTCCCCAAATTTGAGATTTGAACCCAAGACTTCCCAAATATGATGCAGGTGTGGTAACCACTATACCAAGCTACTATGTTTCTTCATTACAAAAGCTGTGTTACTCAGAAAAGTAAAAATGTATTTATGGAGTGTTGCTAGAATGAGTGTCACATACTGAACATGTAAATTCTTTAACTGAAGGGGTTCTGAATGTGGAGGTATAAATCGAAATTGCAAACCTCAAGAGCATTGCCCTTACCTCCCTGCCAGCCATGCAATGGTAATAAAACTCCTGTGGCTTTATTCCAGTCATGAATCGCCCATCCACAAAACCTCCTGCTCTTGGAGCTGTGTCATATCTAGCGAAGCTTGGAAGTGGCTTCCCAGATATCATGTGTGGTGGTCGCCTGCCTTCCAATTCTATTTGGCCCAACAAGCCAGAGATCTGCATGGCATTTACAGAGGAGCCTTTAGCCCCAGACTGAATCATAAGCTGCAAGTTGTTGTGCGGGAATTTTTTCAGAAGACCAGTAGGAATGCAAGCCCTGTTGTGAAAATAAAAGTGGTCAACTTGTGCAAATATATAAACAATCTCATGTATAAAGAGTCAATAGTATTTAAAAATTGTGGATTATTTTAAATTTACATGCTGTAAATAATCATGTTCATGCAAATACTAAATACAAGAAATTAGTCTTAATTTTTGGTAAGTCAAAATTTTGCCTATACACATACAAAAAAATACAGGTTATTTCCAAATAGTGTTAATATTAAAACACATGACACAAAATATTATGTTTGGTGTCACTGAAGACAGAAATCTTGAGAGCATGGAAGTCATGTGTAAACACTTTTAATAGGTGCATCATCAACATTCATAAATATATCTGTCTCTGAAAATCAAATATATGGGAAATGGTTCTGTAAACACTATTCAGGGAAAGCAATCATATGATTCAATATCTGAAAAATATGCTACCTAGGACTATTTACATTCAAAACATGCACGAAATCAGACAGAACTTGGTCCTGAAAATAGTGAGATCATCCAGAGTAGCAAATACCACATTCAATCAATCCAAATCTTATTAAAAATAAAATATTTCACCAAAACTGACATCCACAATGTGAATGGGAGAACTTTTCTCCAAGGATATACAGACTACAGTCAACAACCACTACAATGTAGAAACTTGTTCAACCAGGTGAAATGGTGTCTCCTTCACACCATGTTCTCTCCCGCCCCCCCTCTTTTTTATGATCTGATTGTTAATACGACAATTCAGCTGAAAGTGTATTTTACCTGTAAATCAAATGCTTGGCAGAAATGCAAGAATTTCCTTAAAATAGTGCAGACATGGACCTTAAAATCTGATTCTGTAGTGACTACCCCAATTTCCAAGGGACTGTAGCTTTTCAATTTTATAAAGGAATTATTTCCCATATTTTCAAACACTCTTGTGTGCCAATAATTCTCATAAGTGAAGACAGTGAGACATACATTTTGAAGCTTTCCCAAGGTTCTGTTGCAATGTTTACTAAACAAGTATATGTTTTCTGGTATTTCAAATGTTGTGTTACAGGGAACAAACACTTTCTATTTCCAATTAAGGCCAAGGTGTTTTCAAACTTAACTAACATGTACCCAACTATGCCTGTGAAATTCATGTTGAACTTGCATAGTATTCTCAGTGAGATGTAAGTACATGCTGGGCTATTGCATATACCACCGTGTTTAACAGCACTTGATGAATTAGCTTCTAGGTGCACCACATCTCCCCAGATTGCTGTGTTTAGTGATACCGACCATAATGTCAGTTATTTATTTCAGTTTATTAGAGTTTTGAAAGATAATGTGGATGTTCATCCTTTCAGTTACAAATAGCACACAGTTTGAACAATGCAATACCTATTGCTGACGCAGCATATCTGGTCTCAAATGAAGATCAATACACAAAATACAAATCTTCCCATAAAAAAAAATAAAAAGAAAGTGGAAATTGTACTTTTATACAGCAAGTTTGTATTCAGAAATACATTTCTTTCAAAATGGCTCACGTCTTCATGAGTGGTCTCACCAAAACAGATAATAATTTAAAAAAAAAGCAATAGGAAATATGGTACACTACAGAAATATCATTGGAGCAAATATTACTAATGTTTAATTCTGAAATTAGCTACTAACTTTTGAAAATAACACTAATTCTCCTGCATAAATGTATTCTGACCCTGTACTTCAACTACAGAAAATTAAGATATTATATATATAGTTCATGCCCAAACCTTAAAAAACAACTATCCTAATACACACTTGTTTATTTTGTTGGTGATACTGTCAAGACAATTCTTGTATGAACTGTCAATGATGGCTCTTCCTTTGTCTTTGTTTTGGTATATGTCTTCCATCTTTTCTTTCATCTCATTTTGTGTTGCTGTTTTTGGAAGATTAAACGCAGATCGCACAGCCTTGTTGCCAGTCTACATCAAACATAAAAAAATGATGATAATGAGCTTGTACAGTATGTGCCAAAATTTTCAGTACTGGAATGAAAAGACGTCCTGTTGATACCAGTGTCTATTCATGTGAAGGCCCTTTGCATGACAGAACCTTCTCAAATACTGAAGAAATGGTCAGATCACCATGTCCCTGCAGCATTCTTGGGTGACGGTAAGAGCATTGCCTTCCTCATCCTCAATGAAATAGGGGCCTAATATACTGTGTGCTGAGACGGCACAACATATCATCACACATGTACTATGTAGCAGTTTCTGGACGATAACATCTGCCTGCTCAAAACCAAGGAAGCGAGTTGTCTGGCAACCACTTCCATATGAGCGCAAATAATACTCAATTATGAATACTATTTCCTCCGTCAAGAGACCCATTTCCAGCAACAACTGCACAACACAACTTCCTTTTCACTACTTGGAACACATGCGACTGGAGCTATGTCTCGTCGAACAAACACACATGCGCGAGTTTCAGTACTGCATATTTTGGCACATACTGTATTATTAGAATGAACTGATACATTTCTTAAAATTACATGCAGCAGCTATACTTTTCTGTGACAAACACAAAGCAGTTTAACACGTATAACATATTGGCCATTTAAACACTGTTTTGGCAGTGGCCTTGCATACCAATCTGGGTGATTTTCACCCTTCTCAGTAGACAGAAGTGACAAAGTTCACAGAGAACATTTCTTATTTTTCAAAACATACTGTCATGTGAACTGAGCAAGTGTGTGTGTGTGTGGGGGGGAATCTGTGCATGCCTCTTTCTTGCCACATCAAGACTAATTGTCTATATAACCTAGTACAGCTGAGATGAATAAGAATTCTTTACTGTCAAATTTACTATCATTAGAGGCTAACTTTTCTAAACCCTTTAATGAAACTTATTTCCAAATAAGGTACTTCGGGCACACCACTATTCTAAAAACAGAAGTAGAAGAATATTAATTAAAAGATTTTCTCCAAATATATTTAAGTAGCATTTAATTAAAGGTAAAACAAGCATCCTTCTCTTTTATCCAAAAACACAAACAAATCTCTTTTTTTCAGTGCCATTAACAGTTTTTCCCACATGACTAAAGAAAGGTCACCTTTCCTTACACAAACTTTAATTACAGAAACATATTCACAATTGCTTACTTATGTCCCACCTGAATATCAAGTTTCCATCTCCTTGCTCCTCCATCTGGCAACCTTCAAATATATTTCCATGCCAAAATTCTAAACTCACTTCCCCTACAAAGCCCATAATAATCTCTTTAGATAACACAAGAATACAAGATAAAAAGTATAACTCACAGAGTTCTTCTTACTCCATTTCCACGTATATTACAAGGATAAGTCAATAAGTAAGTTACAAATGGATATAGAACTTAAACAAATAAGAGTACTGATTTGAAAAATGCTTTTATTTCTCAACATAATCTCCCTGTACATTGAGGCACTTGATCCATCATTTCACAAGCCTCTGAGAACCAGCAGCATAAAATTCTTTGGGCTGCTATCGGAACCAGGCGGTGACTTCCCTTTCCACAGCTTCATCATCGGAAAAATTTTCTGCCGGAAGATGATGTTTAAGAGGGCCGAAAAAATGGAAATCACTTGGAGCAAGGTCAGGGCTATACAGAGCAGGCTCAAGGACTTCCAACTTGAAATTCTGCAGCATCTCATTTGTCATGTTGGCAGTATGGGGACGCATATCGTCATGCAAGAGGAACACACCTTTGGTGAGGAGTCTTGGTTGCTTCCGTTGAATGGCCTTACAAAGTTTCCTGAGGATGTTACAGTAGGAGTCGGCATTTAAGGTTTGTCCTTGAGGCTGGAATGCAGTGAGCAGGCCTTCATGATCCCAGAAGACTGTGAGCATCACTTTCCTGGAAGATGGTGTCACCTTAAACTTATTTTGGCAGGTGACGCAGGATGTTTCCACTGCACTGACACACGCTTTGTCTCAGACTGGTAATGGTGACCCCAAGACTCATCACCTGTGACAATTTTGGCTAGCATATCGTGTCCTTCATCGTGGTAGCGATTGAGATGCTGTAATGCCAGACCAATTCTTTGAATTTTGTGTTGTGGGGTCAGCATGCACGGCACCCATCATGCACAGACTTTGTGAAAACCTAACCTGTCATGCATTATGAGGTAGGCCATGTCATGTGAACAACCAATAGCAGTTGCTATAGTGTCCAAAGTTACTCTTCTGTCTGCTCAGATTAAGTCTTCAACCCGTTGCACATTTGCCTCTGTAGCAATCTCTGTTGGCCAGCCGACACGGTGCTCATCTTTGATATGTGTCCACCCTTCAGAGAAATTCTGCACCCAACTGTAAACAGCTTGACATGACAGGCACTTCTCACGGTAGAGGGGAAGCATTTCTTTATGAATATTTTTTTATTCCATACATTTTGCCCACAAAAATCATACAACGGAGCACTGCTCGAGGGTTGTACACTCACTCAGAGGCACCGCCATCTTGCAACTGCTGTTTCCCTTTTGTAAACATCGATTGTCTCATGTCGAATGTCACCAAATGCCACGGGTTAATGCTGCCATCTAGTGGCAATAGCCTCAAGTTCCTCATTCAAACATGCAGTACCCCACATCAATTTGTAACCTGCTTATTGACTCACCTACGTATCAGTCCAACAGCACTTACTTTTCGTGCATGAGTGATGAAGCGCGCTCGTCGTTCCTCTGCATCCTTTACCACCAAAATATCTTCAACTCCAAGAGAGAAACCGTGTCTCTGGAGAAATGCAGTGAACAGTTTCGAAAATGCTGTCAGCAATATGCTTGAACATGCGCCTCCATGTAACTAGAAATAACAAATTAAATTACAACACAGAGATAATGCTAGGGGGAGGAATAGGATGGGTGAATAGGGGGAAAGGGTAAGAAGGGGAATAACAGGAGTATAGGACAATAAAAGAAGGCTGGCAGTGGGAAGAATAGAAGTAGGGAAAGACTGAGGAGGGGACGAGCAATATAAGAGAAGTAGATGAAGAATAAGATGATGATTATTATTATCATCATCATTATTTCTGAAGTGGCGCTAGTATCACTCCCACCTCACTAGATCATTCATGCATCTACCTTTCCATAACTTTCTTCACATATTTTCACACATGAATTACCTCATTTATGCAATGCACCAGTCCATATGGGGTAGCACCATAATGGGTTTTATCCAGGACACCACATAAAAGTTCTCCATCTCGAATAATTACTTCTGCTTCTGACATGGTATTTGGATCATCAAATGCAGTTCCTCCTCCCTTCCATATCCGAGGTTCTTCAGTTATCCATGCCTGGAAATGCAAAACTGAATATGCAAGGGGGATTCAACACAAACTCACCTGTGTTACAAATAATTCCATTGCTACAAAGGAATCCAGCAACAGCTTCAGACTGGAAAGGTGGTCCATTAACAGTGATGACTTTTTCTGGAAACCCCCAACAAGCAAACAGTGACCTCAAAACTTCATATACGAGGTGCTATTGGAAAGTTCCCGGACTACGTCAAAAAAGAAATGCTGGCTTAGCTTACTCAATTTTGGCTGCCACCTTCTTCAAAATACAAAACAGTCTCCTTGGGAACGTATACAGTGATCTGATCGAATTGTTTCCATGCTTCAAAATCACTGTGGAAGTCATTTTGCTTAATGTTGTCAAGTACCACTTGCGATTTCCCTTTGGATGTCAGACACTGTTTCACAACGTTGTCCCTTCAGTCTCAATTTAAATTTGGGAAACAAAGCGAAATCACAGGGGTCTAAGTCCACCAAGTAAGGAGAATGGGATGTTGCTGTCAATCACAAACTGTGGTTTTTGGGGATGTCTGGGCAGGCGCATTGTCATGATGAAGGAGCAATGTGGTGCATGTTCAAATTTTCTGTTAAGATCTTCTGGCAAACTCCATAACTAATCCCAACGGTGTCTGCGAGCTCATGGATTGTTCGGTGATAGTCTTTGTTGTCAAGTTCTCGAATTTTTTCAACATTTTCTGTCATTTTGCTGGTGTTTGGTCGCTGTGAACATCTGAACATCTGTCATCTCCAACCAACATCAACCAATTTTGAAACATGAATGCCATTCAAAAACCGCTGTCTGGCTTAAAGAATGTTCTCCAAAAGACTCACAAAGCATTTCAAGGGTTTCGGTAGTGGATTTACCGAGCTTCATGAAAAATTTGATGCAGACACACTGCTTGATTTTGCTATCCATCACAGACAAAATGAAACATGAAGTTGAAAAAGCACTCGTGTAAAAACAATGTTTGTTCACAGGCCAGTGTCACATGGCAGACCGATGCAATAGGCTTGCGGAAGTGTAACCTTGGCCTCCCCTCTCATCTTCTTTCACGGAGGCAGTTACAACAGTAAGAGTCCAGGAACTTTCTGATACCACCTCATACTACTCCTGCTGTTGTCTGTTGCATGAGGTGAACCTCAGGCAATCTGAATGTTATCAGTGATGAGAGTTTTTCACAGTAATGAGAATGCTACTCAAGACAGCATCCATCTGGTCATGAATTACTAGATAAATTATCATGTTTTAGTACTTGTTAATGTCCTTTATGATCTTTTAAAGTATTTTAGTGACGTTTCAGGTTGCTCTTATATCCCATTCCATCCTTTTCACCTGTACATATATATGTATATGATAGATTGATGTCAGTGTATCTTAAGCTGCCTGGTTATGTTCACTATATTCACTTGTGCACATTCATACACCAAACATGTCTTGCTTCTTGGCAAAAGATTGATTACTGATCAACTCCTGATTGACCACTGAAATACCTTGTCTTGATCAAGAACTATCTACCTCTTGGTAAACAAGTTACCAATCCTGGCATCACTATGCTATACCAGTTTCCATATAATCATATAGCAACCCACAACTGGATGAAACATGAAAAGGAAGAAGATTCAAATGTAGGGGAAGACATTGAATTGAAGAATTTAATATTTTAATATACCTTATCTGCAATTTTGGCAGTTGATGTAAGATTAATTGGATACTGTCCATCAGGTACAATATTAACAAGCACTGTTGAAATTATCTGCTTCCCAGACCAACAGGGGATTGGCTTCAGAATTGCTGGTGGTAACAGTTTTATCTTTCCCACTTTATGACTCAGTGCCTGATAAACAAGCTGCTGATACTCATCCCTGTAACATTAAAAATCTGTTGACATCATTTAGAACCAACAGAGAGTATTAGAAACACTCTGCATTCCTTCACATTTCTTCACAGTTAGTCATTCAGTCACTGTATAAATATGCTCTGATACAAATATCATTTGTGTAGGATAAGATGATCCTCATACAATGAAATCCAATAACTTTTTCAGTTTCCAGAAGTCTCGACTTTACATACATCTGGGCCTTGCAAAGTCACGATCCAGCTCTGACTATGAGGCAGTTATTGGCTCAATAATTTAAAATTATTTTTGGAAATCCCAACTACAAAAACATGTCAGGTGTGTACGTATATGCATGCATGTATGAGCATGGCTGTACATTAATGCAGGCATGCATGAATGTGGTGCATGGATATGTTTTGAGTGTACATGTGGATGTGCATGTTTCTATGTCTGTGTATACTGAGACAGACAGGGGAGTGTGGAGTGTCCTAGTTTTCACCATGTCCCTTGAACATAATCACTTCTTATTATAGCAATATAATTTTAGACTACAAAAAATAATTATTAGAATTACAGCAGGAATAAGAGATAGAGATTGATGTAGAATATTTTAAAGAATTAAAAATATAATCACCACAATCTCTGTGTATACACTTTCATTGTTTGTGATCAATAGTAAACATCATTTTAAAGCAAATTCTGTGATACATAATATTAATATCAGGACCAAATCTGATTTGCATCATCCACCATCTCATTTGCCAGTTTATCAGAAGGGAACATATTATACTGGGATTAAGGCGTTTTAACAGTTTATCTGTTCCAAAAAAAGGATATGTCCCACAATACAAAACAATTTAAATCAGCCTTCAAAATTGTTTGTATTTCCATCAATTTTATATATTAGACGAATATTTTAAATACAACATGAATGAAAGCTTTTATAATGCTGTTTATATAGTACACTGCATAAATTAATCGATTATAATCTGATATGTATTTATATATTTAAGCTATGATCTTAATAAAGTATTACTGTCAAATTGATTAGTCCTATATACTTGTTAAATTACTAAATTAAGTACAATTATTGTTTCTTTTATGAATGCAGTTGTACGGTTACTAGTTCTGTGTTGAGAACTAATGTATGCATATGTGACATGTTCTACTACCATAGTCAATAATTTTGTGGACTGGCCACACAGTGTCGTTGCAGGGCACTACAGCAGATATGTTGAGGCATGATATGATGCCCTATTAGTTCATCTCTTGTCAGAGAAAGAGGCAAACAGTGTAAGTAGAACTATGGCCTATGTTGTGTACTGCAGTTAAATGCAAGCGGCAGAAATCGAAAACATGGCAGTTTGAACAACAGGCAAACATCAAGTTCTGCCAAAAACTAGACAAATCCCCTAGCGAAACATTTGGCGTAGGAAGAATTGGCTGTTGCTACATGACAACGCCCCCGTACATCGCTCTGTTCTTGTTCAAGAGGAACCGGCAAGGCAACAGGTCACCGTTTTGCCACACCCTCCGTACTCACCTGATCTCGCACCATGCAATTTCTTTCTCTTTCACCACTTGAAAGCAAAGCTACGTGGTCGTAGATTTCAGTTGTCTGAGGTGGTCGTCATTGCCACAAGAGACGCCGTACGGGAATTTCCTGCCAGTATGTTTCAGCAATGTTTTCGGCAGCTATATCAAAGTTGGCAGACTTGCATAGCAGCCAACGGCAACTATTTTGAGGGCTTATGTGGATCTGTATAAGTGTATGTAAATACCTTGTAATATGATGTGATGAAACCAGTCCACGAACTTAATTACTGTACCACATATGTCTGATGGCTTTGGTAGCCAGTGAGGATCCAGGGAATTAAATAAAGATACAGATGTATGATGTAAAGATTTAAATAGGAGTCCACCCTCCATGCCAAGCTAGAATGGTTTTATGTCTTTGATTATGTAATTATTTTTCCTTAGGTTCAGCAAAGTCAAGTCACTAAAACACACTTTTTTCATCTTCAAACTCATGATGTATATACCATGCTTCAACAGTGTAAGTGAGAAGCTGAGGGACAGAAATATGTTTCGAGGTCAGAAGCCACAAGGTTGTCCAAAGTACTAAGAACATTACAAAACAAAAGTAGTAATTCACCAATTTACAATACTAGAAGATTCTGTACTAGCAACTGTGTCACTAAACATAAAAGTGACAAATCAAGTCAAAGAAAAAAAGTACTAGTGTCAACAAGGATAATATGTGAGAATTAATTAATTTGCTTAGTGGAGGGTGGAGTCCAACTGGGTCCACGCGGCACGGCGGCCACTGATTGGCCTACTGTAGCCTGACCCAGGTGATTATGATGATGGAGACTTTGGTGGAATGAAGATTGGCAGGGGAAACCAAAGTACTCAGAGAAAACCCGACCCAGCATATATCGGGTGCCACAGATATGATTTGTATTTTAAGACTATGGTGAATAAATATGCAAACAACTATGAAAAAGTAACAAAACATAGTATCTCAAAACAGCACATATCTGAAGTTGGAAACAGAACAACCAAAATAAGATTTGAGGCTTTCACGGCGGTGACTATGAAGAAAGCAGTCTTCTGGGATTTGGCACCGATACGTTCCTCCGAAACGTCGGTTAACACCACATATACATGGTGCCAAATCCCAGAAGACTGCTTTCTTCAAAACAACCAAAACTTACAGAAATTCAATGTGAGAACTATCCTTCATATGAATTCAGTGACAAAATAGAATGTAGGTATTGTGCAACATTATTATTCAGTGAGATGCTAAAATTACAAATGACGTCGAGCAATAGGTTTTCTTTACAGTGAAGGTCCACACTTCTCAAGAAGTTACTGATGGCACTTCCAGGTAATGCCAATGAAATGCCAGTACATTTTAATGTCATTTAACTACACCAATGATGATATAAGCCTGAGATATATCTTTGGACCAGTGGAAGAAAATGGAATATGGAGGAAGAGGTATAACCATGAGCTATACAAACTATTTAATGAACCAGACATTATTGGATTTATAAAGGTGAAAAGGCTTGAATGGGCTGGACACACAATATGTGCCAGCGAGAATAGAACCATCAAGAAAATGCTTAATACTAAACCAGAAGGAAATAGGAGAGTGGGAAGAGATGGGAGATGGAAAGAACGTGTGTGGCAGGACATAAGAATTTTAGGTGTAAAGAACTGGAGGAATGTAGCATCGAATGGAGAAGAATGGCGAGAAATCCTGAGGAAGACCAGGGTTCACAAAGGGCTGTCGTGCCAGTGATGATGATTATGAATGATGATATAAGTGCAAAATATGCCACAATAAAAACATCAGGCAATGGAAAGATGTGATTGACTCTAATGCTGACAGAGCTGGCAGACAGCTGTTGCTGTTTATGGCCCGCTTCCTAGGAATGGGACTATGTGCCACAATATGTTACCTTGCAAAAAATCTTCCTCGAACTGAAAGATGTACTCCTGCTACAACATGATCTTGAATCAAACCACTCAGTGGTGTACCATCTTTTGGCACTAAATACTGGTTCTTCACATTCACTACAAATAAAAACACAGATATAAAAAATTCATCATTCAGAATCTGGCTAGTGTATATAATTGTACACATAAACTAACTTACTAAGTAAACATATGGAGCTGAGTCCCTCTTGAGAGCCTAACATCAAGAAATTCCCAGCATTATCTGGAACTTGAAGGTTTAAAAGAACCTGCCAGTTGTCCCTATCCTGAGCCAGATGAATCCAATCCCACTCCATTCTTATTTCTCTAAGAACAATTTTAATATTATCCTCCCATCTACATTTTCATAGTACCTCTATTCTTCAGGTTTTCCTATCAAAACCCTGTATGCACTTTCCCTTACACATCCTACATGTCCTGCCTATCTCATCTTCCTTGACTTGAACATTCTAATATTGCCGTGTATTCTCAATCACCCTTTGCCCTCAAATAAACAGAACGCCTCAGTTTTTAAGATAAAAAAAAGTTCAAAAATGAAGTATTAAACATATTAAATGATAAACGAGGCATGTGGTAGGGTAGCTGGTTGAGGCACCATGCTACAAGCCAGAAGGTCATGGTATCAAATCCCGATGAGGTGGATTTTTTTCCAATTGACCTAATCCTTCCAGCTGCACTATGGCCCTGTGGTCTACTCAGCCTCTAACAGAAATGAGTACCAGGAATATTCCTGAGGGGTAAAGGGCGGATGGTGCATAAGGCTGACAACCTCACCCCCATCTGTGAGCCGACTGTCTAGAAAATGTGGGACCCTCAACATCTCACAACCCTATTGGCCTCAAGGGCCTGTTACTGGGACAGCTTTACTTTACTTACTTACCTTCCTCACTTACATGGATGTTCCTCTGGGGCCAACCCATCCTCCTATTCAGTGGGTACTGGGAACTATTTCCTCATAGGTAAAACTGCAGGGGCATGAAACTGACCACTCACCTGCACTGAGTGCCAAGGTCAAGAATGGTGGAAATATGACCTCCCCTATCCCGCACGTCTTCATGACGTGGTGCTTAATTAAGCACAGAGGTAAATTTACTTTTACTTTTTTACTTATTATATTAGTGTTCAATGTATGACATGAAAGTACATGAACTGTTAATGACATACTTGTGCAACCAGCATGATACATTCAACTCTGGTTGACTAATCTCATGAATATACAATGTGTACTTTCTGTTGACCTGCAACAAGCCTAAGTCTGAGAGTTCCAGTGACCAACGAATGATGTGAGATGAACAGCCAGTTCATTACAGCACCTCCTTTGAATTAACAATGTTACTGTGAAGGTACAAACTGTGGTGTTTTGTGACACAGTGCAGTCTGATAGGTGGTTATGGTCACAGTGCAGAAGACCACAATATAAACCCTCACTGCCATGAAACATCAAATCTCAATGCGTAGCTAGTTCAAAGAATGAGTTCTGCTGCATAACGGAAGGAAGAAGAAAAGTGCAATGAAGAAACAGCAGAAAAAGTAGAGGTGAGTATGGGAACTATTCATGGAGATGCACACAATGTCCCACTTCCACAGAAGACAAGTAATATGAAATGGAACCACACCTAACCTTTAACTTCCAAGACACAGAACCATTTTTAAGTTTTAAAAGGACCATTCCATAACATCATGTTGGATGGGTCAAAATACATTACTTCAACTTCTTTGTGGATAAAACCTTCTGAGAAATAGTACCCTAAGCAACAATTAATCTGCTACCTTCTCCAAAAGGAAACTCAGCTTACCTAATTCACACCACTGAAGAAATTCAATCATATAGACCTACTGCTATTTTGGTATGCAAGGTAATGGTTAATCTACCAACAACAGTATTACTATGAAGGATACATTTATCTATTCTTTGTTGTTAGACAAGACCTGATTCTGACAAGGCTCAGAAAGAAAGAATACTACCTAAATTTAACAAAGATATGATGTATAAGATTCAAGAAATATTCATGTTTTTTTTTTAATGGTGGTGGGGTGCGACTAAGTTCCTTGTACTGCGGCCACTTCTGGCCTATTGTACCAGCCCCAGATGATAGGCAAGGGTGATTGTGGAGCAATTGGTGGAATGAAGATTGGCAGGGGAAACCGAAGTACTCAGAGAAAACCTGCTGCAGCTCCACTTTGTCCACCACAAATCCCACTTGATCGGGATCGAACCCGGACCGCGACTAACCGCTTGAATTATGGCGCAACCAATATTCACGTTACAACACATTTTCTGAATTCATGTGACATCATTAGGTGAGTACTGAATATACAAAAAATAAAACATCCTTACCATGACACTAGTGATGTACCAGCTGAAGAAAGTTCCCCAATTGTGGACTAAGGATAATAATAGGAATTCCAGGTGATAAGGATGATTGCATGTCACTTCAGTGGCAATGACAGATAATTACAGAGCAGAGGAGAAATGATGAATAGTGGTGATAAACCAAAAATACTTTACATAAATTGTGCATCAGCATCACTCTGTTCACTACCCAGGTCCTATGACTGCCCTAGAAACAAACCTGCACTTCCAAGTGAAGAATCCTGTAACCTAACCACTCAAATTATCACATGGAGAGAAACTATTTACTAATGTCCTAAGGGACATATATCAAAAAGTTAACATACGCAGATTATACGCTTCACTGCGAGCCAGTTCGTTCTGAGGGAAATGAGCATTCATTTCATCACCATCAAAATCAGCATTGTATGCTTTGCAGTTGGCATAGTGAAGTCGTAACGTTCTCTCTCCCTTCAGAATGCGTGCAACGTGTGCCATGATGCTGGGTCGATGCAAAGTGGGCTGTCTGTTCAAAAGTAACACATCTCCACTACAAAGATGTCTATGTACCTGAAAAGACAGTATGATGTATTAAGCAACATACCAAAACACATGGGAGATGAAGGTGCCCACAATGTCAGCATCAAAAGAAAATTCAACAGCACATTCTAGCCACTCCCAGTAGCTTTACAGAAGAGGCTGACTGCTATTATGATGAAGTTCCAATATTTGTTTCTGGTATCAAGTCAACATCACTACACAATCAAAACTTAAAAAAAAAAAGGAGAAGAACATTTCAGGCCATGTCTGCCTAAAGTTCTGTTCCCTGACTATTAAAGGGATAAAAGCTCAGGAATCTTTATGAGTTTATACAATCATTATAAATATACACTTTTACAAACAAACTCTAAACATTCATATCCTCAATTCAGCAAAATCCTATGTGTTTAATCAAAATCATTAATGAATTAGTTAGTAAAATAATTTATAAAAATATATTATTTGTATAAATAGTATAAAAAAAGATAAAGTTGTCCATGTGCTTAATTAATTAAAGCATGATGCCATGAAGAGTTCGACTTTCGGCACTACCAGATTTTCTGAGAAGTAGTGGGTCTGGAACAGGGTCCACTCAGCCTTGTGAGGAAAATTAAGGAGTTATTTCAAGGAAATATTGGCTCTGGTCTAGAAAAACGAGATTAATGGCCGTAGGGAGCGGTTGCGCTGACCACTTGATACCCTCTATCCGCAAAAGTTGGCACTAACTTCGCCGACAAGCAGCAGTCCCTCAGTTGGTATAGTTTGCTTGTGGACTACAGGCCACGGAGTTTGTTTGGTTTTAGTTTGTTTATTATGCCATGAAGACATGTGGGGTAGTTCAGGTATATATGGTCAGACAGAAAAAAATGAGACTGTGCCTGTATCTCTTTTTATTTAACAAACTGAGAAAATCAACTAGGATCTTCAAAATTGTTCCCTTCTGAGTTGACATACAGCTGCAGATGATGCTGCTATTGTTCAAAGCTATTCTGCATATCACTTTCTGAAAGGCTGTTGAGGATCTCCATCGTTTTTGCTTTCACATCTTCTCCCAACAAAAAATGGGTTGCTTTGAGCACCGACTTGATTTTTTGGAAGAGGCAGAAGTCGCAGAGAGCAAGGTCTGGCAAATAGTGTGTGCTCAAGCACAGTGATGTTGTGATTAGCTATAAACTGCTTCACAGACAAAGCATTGTGTGCTGGCGTGCTGTCTTGGTGCAAAATCCAACAGTTTCTCCATAATTATGGTCGTTTCCTTCTCACGCGTTCACACAATTTCGTCAAGACTTCAACGTAACACTGCTGATTTACCATCTGGCCACGGGGAACCCACTCTGCCATTATAATACCATGGATACTGAAGAAAACAATCAACATGGCCTTGAACTTCGAACAACTATTACATGCTTTTTTGGTCTTGGAGATGTTGCTGACTTCCACTGCATTGATTGTCACTTGGTCTCCTCAGTCGATAACTGAAAAGTTTCCATTGCAGATTTCTTCAGTTTCACAAGAAACTTGATCACTCCAAAGTTTTCTGACCAAGGGTAAGAAAACGTCTATATTTGAACACACATCCACTCATACTGAGTAAAGCTATGAAGCTGAGCACTATCTCATGGTGACAGGTTAGAACATACTCTATAACCATCTCTTCGTCTCTCCCCTCCTACTCTCGGATCCCAAGCTATAGGGTTAGGCTTGTCTTTTTTTTGTCTGACCACGTGGCTTCACCTTTTCTGACCTTGGCACTAGATGAAAGTGACTGGTTAGCTTCACTACCTGGTTGCTTTACCCATGGGCAAATAGCACCCGATACCCATTGGACAGGAGGCTGGGTGGGCCCCAGAGCTTCTCTGGACACTGTGGAGAAGAGACAAATTTTTCCATACTGAGAATCAAATCCAGGCCATCCAGCCCCTAACCCATCACTATACTGACTGGGACACCCTGAATCCATAAACAGCATAATTTTGTTAATTATTTTGCATATGAAAATAAAATTATGTAATCATATAAGGAAAATCACAAATGCAGAATGAGGGTTAACTAACTGCACATACAAATATTCCACTACTTACTGACAGCCTATAACACTGGTCTCATCATAACAGCCAGTGACAGTGACAGCCAGAGCAATACTGGGGACCTGACCTACTCAGTTCTTTCATAAAACAAACATTAAAATTAATAGATTATCCACAATAAGTTACAATGTATTGAATATGCATCATTTCTCTGGGTACATAATGTCACACACATGAGTGACCACAGATGATGATTTGGATAACTGAATTTATTGACCACTTAGAGGTCGTGACTATAAATAACTATAACATTATCGCTGATTTCCACACTTCATATATCATTACAGCACATGTCAAGTCTTTTCCAGCCTGCAGTGCTTTCACTAGACATTTCATGGTAACAGCTTCTAACAGTGGAGATTCTTCAGCTTCCATGTTCACGCCCTCTCCAAATGGCGGCTCCCTTCTAACTATGTATGATTGCTCTAAGTTAGTCTTCACAGACTCAGTGACCAAGCTCTAAACCTGTCCCTTGCATACATTATCTTGGCACGGACCACGCAGAAAACGCTGTTCCTCTGTTGCATGCATTTCCATTGCTGTAGGAACATGTTTACCGAGCCGTTCCATAGCAATGGCCATCTATTTTTGCGTATTAAGTTTCTGCTGCCTAGCAATGGATGTTGTTCCATTGTTTGTTTCGCGACCATTACCTAGAAGTGAATGTTGTTTCAGAGCCACGCACTAGCAACAGCTGTTTCTCTGGCTCCACAGTTCTTGCCTTGAGCAAATTTGTCACAATATGAGTACAGAACTAAAATAACAATAATGCATTTTTTAATTTATACTAAAAAATTAATATGCATGAACTGTATTAAAACATACAAAAACTGGTTCATACAGTAACTGAAGACAGCTCCTAATCTACCAAAACAGAAAACTGTACACACCTACTACAAACGTTCAAGCATTATAAGAAAGAAATCAGAAAGCAAACTTGTTATTTTTCATTAGCATTACCTTGATCTCCGAGTAGGAGGGTGGTGCATATTTCAGCATCACCATATGGAAAATTTAAATTAAAAGGATCCTTTTACAATAGATTGTTCTGATAATCAGTGAGGACACGCTTTTCCTGAGTGACTTGTCCAATTGTACATAATGTAACAGTTATGGATGTTAAATAAATCAATCAATCAATCAATCAATCCTGCATGCATGCCAACATATATGCACACAAACACATACACACATATAAACTAATTTTATCATTAAAATGAAAACTTTATTTCTATCACTTTCTGAAGAGAATAACAGGCTTCACTGCTGCTGCATGGTAAAAATTAACATGAAGTATTCTCAATCACAGAAGGTCAATAAGTCAGCAAAAGGAGAATTTGTCAAGATATCAAAGGAAACAAAAATATAAAAATGCATTATACATGTTTTGAATATCAGATGTCCAGATGAAAGGTATCCAAAATAAAAAATTTATATCTCAGAAAGTAATTGTCATACACGTATCTGGTTTATGTCATCAGAAAGGAAAACCTTGTAAGGTCCCCCCCCCGCCCAACTTACACACATGCACCGTCACATTTCTGCCACCATGCTAGGAATCACTTGGACAGAGTGATGGCTGGGAGATAGATCAGCAGAAGTAGATAAATTGCTTGGCCTCCTAGGTCACCAGATTTAACCCTACTGAATTTATCTTGTGGCATTATGTGAAGAATATTGCCTACCAGATTAAGATCAATGACCTGCAACACCTGAAAGCCCACATAAGGGATGCTGTGGCTATGGTAACACCAAACTTGCTTCAAGCCTGGATATTTGTTGTGCCACCAAGGGAGCCCACGTTGAAATTTACTGAGAAAGTTATATACTCAGAAAAAACTTTGATAGTTTCTCTTTGTAGTGGTGTAACCCATAAATGTGTATAATAAAAGCTTTCTGAGATATAATTGTTTTATTTTGGATACCTTTCATCCAGACACCCTGTATATAATTTGGACGTTATTAGGGTTCTGCTGAAGGTGAAACCAAATGATACCTATGAAAGGTTATGCATAAACAAGTACATATAGTGCTCCTGAATGAAAAAAAACATGTGGGGGGGAAAGTTAATCCACTCCTTGAGCTAATATGTGACTCTGACATTGCAGTAGGACTACAGACTACACATAAGACAGTAGTTGCCACAAGCCAGATAATTCATATACAGATATTAAATTTAACTATACATACTATTTTCATTCCTTTCGATACATCACATGTGTCTCCAGGAGTCAAGAGACGTTTTGCAACACTTCCTCGTTGAATTTGGTCAGTGGAGGATATTCTGGTTCTGCTACCATCCTCATTCTCTACCATTACAGCTCTGAAATAAAACAACATATCACCTTACTTACTTACTTACTTATGGAGTTAAGCCCTTCTTGAGGAGAAGCTCAATCTGCAGCTACTCAAGAATTTCCCAGCATTTTATGAAACCCGAAGGTTCATTACTGTGTTCACAAGAGCCCTCCACTGGTCCCTATCCTGAGCCAGATCAATCCAATCCATACCATCCCATTCTATCTCTCTAAGAGCCATTTTAATATTGTGCACCCATCTACGCCTTGGTCTTCCCAGAATATATCACCTTGCAACATGAAAAATTAGTGCTTTCAGGTGATTCTATAATTGCACCCAACTGAGTAGGTTTTACCTGAGAATGGGGACAGAATTCAGTCTCCGAAATGCTGAGATTTTAAAAAGAAACAGGATGTTATTTTTTAGAAAATAGACAAGACGATGGATAATGTCCAAAAACATAATACTTGTAATATTTTTATTCTTGAAATGTGTTATTCTATACTTTATAAAAAATGACTACTCAACAAGATCACATTCAATGCAGTAGTGTTGTACAGAAACACTGTTGTAGTATTGTGAAAGAAACGTAGCCTTCAGGACTTTCTATTATTTCTGATGCTACTTCGAGACAAATGCAACATTTATCACCCAAATGGCAGTTTCAAGCCTTCTTCTCTTATTTCACAAAGACAGCCCACTTTATGTTATCACACTCATGTATGTTCATATGTGTGCTTTCTACTAATAATTACAATCAACTTCTGGATATTCAAACAAACTGGAAAAATGCCACTCACATTTTCCACTTTTTGTATCCGTAATGCCAACATAGTGACTACAGCAATTTTCAAGAAAGAACCAACAGGAATCCATTTAGTGAATGAACCAAAAACTTTGTGTGGCAATAGATCTCTTAAATACATGGAACTCTTGTTAACGGCAATTCTTGTCACTCTGATTTTGTATAGGTGCATAAAATAACAACATAGGAACTATGTATAATCTACAACATCCTTTCTGTTTCAGTAAGATGACATATGAAACACTTATAGATGAGAAGTTTTGCAGGGAGACAGATCACAGAGTACTCAAAAGCTATGAGACTCTTTCCGAGTACATATGTGCAATGTGACAGTATAAAATTTTACTTTCTTTTGGTAATAAGAACTATATTAGTAGTAGCGGGCCGCATCATAGCTCAAGTAGTTAATCGCTGGCTTCCCAACGCAGTGGCCCAGGTTCGATCCAGGGTTTGGTCAAGTGGGATTTCTGGTGGACAAAGTGGCGCTGGGGCAGCTTTTCTCCGAGTACTTCAGTTTCCCCTGCCAATATTCATTTCACCAATTGCTACACAATCACCTTCACCTATCATCTGGGACTGGTACAATAGGCCAGAAGTGACCGCAGTACAAGGGACTTAGTCCCACCCCACTAGCAATAAAAAAAATATTAGTAGTAATTCAGTCATTCATCAGTAATCTGTCAAGATGACAGGTCCACAATCTCTTCCAAAACAGTTCCTCCACTTGGTGTGATCCAGAGCTTTCTCCTTCAAATGAAAATATCCTTTTTTGTCCATTAATAGTAATAACACATAAAAATTACTGTAAACCGAACAGAATCAAACTACATTAACTGTATGGTACAGAGGTCTCCTTCAATGCTGAAGTCTTTTAGCTGATCAAGAAATTCACAACTATTAACATATCCAAAGATTCATAAAGTAATCACTACACTGGAACCTATTCTGAGACATTTCCGTGTAGTACATGTTCACAATCTGTTTCTCGCTGAATCTTAGTATTATCCTCCCATCTGTACACAACCTCAACATAAAAAGAAAAAATATTTTCCAAACACAACCTATGTGAAATGCACATAACTTCATTAACACAGTAAACTATAAAGTCTCATATACTGAATGAAATGGCTGTTATTATCTTGAGAAAGCTTTCGCAGAAATCTCTGCAAGGAATTACAAACTCATTTTCCTGCCATAAGATAAATCTACATGAAAGTACAAAAAGAATCGTAGCTTCTGTTACGTCTGGTATTCTTTCTTACCCTGGATAAACATCAGGTCCATTCAAAACCATCTTGCGTAAATCAGCCACATTCCACTCAGAAACAGGCACAGGATATGTTAAAGATTTGGCAAATATTTCCGGAATACCAATTTCTTCAATGTTCAGACATGGATCTGGAGTAATAACTGAACGAGCGGCAAAGTTAACTCGCTTTCCCATCATGTGCATTCGTATAACACCTTCTTTCTTCTCTATCACCTGTATAAAACAAGGAATATAATATTCATGTAGCAGATCATTGCAGTTTTAAAAGTCTCCATCACTGAACAAAAACCTGCGAATTTAGTTGACATTATCAAGGCTGCACCACAGCTCAAGTGGTTAGTCGCTGGCTTTCCACCGCAGAGGCCCAGGTTCGATCCCGGGTCTGACCAAGTGGGATTTGTGGTGAACAAAGTGGCACTGGGGCAGGTTATCTCTGAGTACTTCGGTTTCCCCTGCCATTCTTCATTCCACCAACTGCTCCACAATCACCCTCACCTATCATCTGGGGCTGGTACAAGAGGCCAGAAGTGGCCGCAGTACAAGGGACTTAGTACCACCCCACTAGTAATAAAAAAAGAACAAACAATAGTTCACATTATAACAATTCATTATATCATGCTACATTTTCAGATTAGTTGAGCGTAACCTCCACATGGGAATACTTACTTACTTACTCATGGAGCTGAGCCCTTCTGGAGGAGCCGCCAATTCTGCAGCTACTCAAGAATTTCCCAACATTTTATGGAACCCAAAGGTTCATTACAGTGTTCACAAGAGCCCTCAACTTGTCCCTATCCTGAGCCAGATCAATCCAATCCATACCATCCCATCCTCTCTCTCTAAGATCCATTTTAATATTGTCCACCCACCTACGCCTTGGTCTTTCTAGTGGTCTCTTTCCTTCTGGCTTTCCCACCAATATCCTATACGCATTCCTCGTCTCCCCTATTCGTGCTACATGCCCTGCCCACCTCATTCTCCTTGACTTGACCACATGGGAATAACATGATTAATTTGGTGATGTGAGTTATGCCTCTTCCTGATGCAATTTCAGCTCATATCAGTTGCAATTGGTTACCCTGACAGCAAGATACACAGATACAAGCAGTGCAAGAATACTATAATTATGCAAACCTCTAAAAACCACTTCATTCTGTTGATTCTGTAGATTGCACATGGAGTACATCTTTCCTGGTCACTTGTCAAAGAGATGTCAAATATTCAAAGCCTATGCTTTATAAATTTAAGGACTGCACAGACATAAAACGTACCATATAGAGCAAATTTATCTGAGGCATATATACCTGCTTGATGCCTGGGCAAACTTTCTGAAGCTTCTGTGAAGACCGGTTCATACCACTATCCATCAAGCGATCCACATCAGCCTGCAGCCCCTGCCACGTTAGAACTAACTTCTCTTCAAGAGTCTTCCCTTGAATCTGTTCTATTATGCTCTGAGGAAAACCAAGTCATTTTTAATTATAATTTACCCACAATAAAAAAACAGCATAAATCACGACAATAATAAATATAACATTCAGACTGTCTACTGCACTATCACTCAACCATTAATTTCAAAAACCCTTTACCATCAAAACATCTATGTATAAGATAGTCCGTCAATAATGCAACAAATTGTTCCTTTTTCTTCCGTTTATACTTTAACACAAGTTTCGGCCCTAGATGGCCATCTTCGGGTGTCTTAATACATTAAAACTGTTACACTGCATTAGTATGCACTAAAATCTCACGTTCTAGTCCACTTAACATAAAAGAATAGAATCCGTTAAAATTTTCTATTAAAATTTTCATTACTTTGGTGAAATTCACTTCCACCTCAGAAGTGATGTCATCCATTTGTTTAGAACTACATGTTTATCTCCATGTGTTTTATTGCAGCAGCTTGTATCTATGTTTGTTAGCCTATTGTTCTGTTACATTTGCAATCTGTAATATTCCCCTTGCTTGTGCATTGTTCCCTCTAGCAGCATGTGGTGTTGTCTTCACTAGTCAAATATATCTGCCCATAAATTTTGTATGCAAGAAATGTAATTATAAATCCTGCAAAATCATACAAATAAGCATTCTGTTACAGGAAACCTGTGTCATCTAAGGCAGTGTTTCTCGACCTGTATTTAAAACATACCCATTTAAAAAAAAAAATGCTTCTGAAGTACTCCACATACCTAAAATTTTCAAAAAGACAATTCTTTCTACCACTGCAACACATTTATTTAAAGAATTTAATCATAACTGGTTGTTTGGAAGAAACTGCCTGTATGCAGTAAGTAGTTACTATAGGATTCTGACGATGGTGTATAACACACTNACTATTAGTTTTTGTTACTAGTTCTTCTTTCTATTCCATGCCGTGGGGTCATGGACCTGGTCATGAGTTTACTTTCGTGGCATAAATTTCTACAGATCTATCTATCCTGGTTCCACGCTTGTAAGTGTTTGCTACAATTTGTTATTAATATTTTTCTTATTAGCTCTCATGGACTTAGCCTGATCTCAGGTTTTTATAATCTTCATGTTTTGTGACATCGGTTTGTCCAGTGATTGATGCTAGCTCTTTCTAACAGACCCAACTGAATAGGTGTTTTCCTTCACCTGAGGACGGAAACAGATCCAGTTTCCGAAACGTCGTGTTTTTATTTGTTATCTTAAAAACCGGGACAATGGATAAAGTCCAAAAACCCAACATATCAGTGTGTATGCAGTAAATTTAACATCATTCTTCATACTGTGCAAAGAGGTTATAAATACAAAAATTCAGACATTTCAGTTGTGTTCAAATTCTTCCAGATTCCTCTCTCACATCCCTGGTTAAGAAACACTAACCTAAACCAAATAATGTGATTAAAGGGTTCTCGGCTTTTCCTTTATGTATATTTTTTCCACAAAAATATTAGTAAAAACAGATAATTGGAGAATAAAAATGGTTCAAAAGCCACATATGGTTTGTGTAACTCTATCTTCAACCTCCAGGGGGAAGGAAATGAAATTAACACTTTGCCGACCATTCACGCATTAATACGTTTTTCACTTTTAAACGTGGCAGACCGGTTGCATATTAATACGTTTTTAGAACACGATAAGTTGCAACACACTATACATCGCTCTGGTGCCACCTACATTGCACGCGACCACCTGCAGATGCGTGATGAGACTCTGGGATGTTTAGTTAGCAGTCAGTAATTTGACCTCGCTGTTTATTTAACCAACTACAAAGGAAAATGCTTTGCCTTCTTCAAGCTGTGTGTATCAGCCAGTAAGTAGTGGGGAGAATGGATCAAGGACAAATTCTCCTCCGAAGACCTAGCTGATCTGCCTTGTGAGATGCGTAGTAATGGATTGTCATTCAGACAGTGACAGTGATGGGGGGAACAACAAAGAATTGTGGCCACAGACAGTAAAAGTGACAGTAGCTCCAACAATAATGCGGGTAATAACATTGAGCGTAGTAACATTGCGGGGACAGCAAAAAATCTAAACCCTGATTCAAAATCGAAATACAAAGCATTTCTGATGAATGTGGCAAAGGCCTGGGCTATAGTCCAGATGGTGGCGGCAGAACCAGGGTCACATAAAGACTTAGTACGACCAGGCCCATCAACTCCCACCCCACGAAGGCCTCATGTGATATGCGGAAACATACCCTCCTGAAAACTGTGAAGAGTGAACATTCCAAGGGGAAGAATCCTTCTAGTCAATGCTGTGTTTGTACAGTTCACAAAAAAAAAGGAGTATGTCTACATTTGCAAGTTCTGTGTAATGCCACTTCACAAGGGGGAATGTTTCCAGAAATATCACATCCTCAAGCACTTCTAGGAGCATTGGTAAGTGTTCTCCAAAAATTTTAGTTCAAAAAAATAATTAGAAGATTTTATATTAATTTTTAAAGTGAACAGTGCACAAGTTCAGGCAGTAGGTTTAAAAATGCCGAACCCGAGGGTGATTTAAATATTGAAATCGCCGGTCCACAAAGTGTTAACATAATAATTGCGATTCAAAAAAAAAAAAAAGTTACAGAATATAGAAGCACATAAATTCAACATAATTTTCCCTTCTCTGTTCACACTCCTGCTTGTTAAATCCACATAATAATCTACTCTCCTTTCCCCCTCTCTCTCAGTCAACCAGCAACCCCTTCACATTGAACCAAGTGTTATTCATTAAAATTAGTCTAAAGCAGTTGGCTGCATTAAAACAAAACCACACTTTTTCAATTCACATATAATGTGGAGTGCCTGCAGTCCATTTCTAGAAAGACTATATATGATAGCTTCTTTTCTTTTTACTGTGGAAACAACAAAAATCATCTCACTTAGTTACATTTAATTTGTAGCCTGCTCTAAGTTCACTTCAAAATGGGAACCTGCCTCCATTTTACAAACATACCAGGCCTTTGGAAAAAAATAATAGGTCACCATGACACTACTAAAATACCAGTATAGAGGGACTGTAGCAAGCAAACTAAAATTTACAGATATCTGCATATATGAGAAGAAAAACACTGGTCTGCTTCAAATGTAATGTTGGTTCTAAACTAAAATAATATGGCCATAACAGCCAACTTTCCTGTTAAATATAAAACCCTCAACAGAAAACAATCATAATTCAATATTTCCATATATTTTATCACAGAAATCCATGATTATAAGAATGCTACGAGGAGTTTCTTTGCAGTGAAACAATTCCAGATTTGATCCTAACTCCTCACACCTACCAACCCCAAAAGGTGAAAAAATATATTTCTGAGGTGGAACTCTGTACTTCTCAAAAAAAAAAACAGAACATAGTGAATTGTATTTAAAAATTTGTTTCTGAAAGAACTGGTAAGTTACTTGTTTACTCTGTACCTTTTCATTCTTGTTTCAATATCCATAAACATATCAAACAAGATATCTGACTGTGAATGTGCTAAAAGGAAAAGTGAAACACAAGTCACTCAGAAATCAAAATAAATCCTTTGCTTCCTTCGTCAGTCAAAACCAAATGTTCTGCTACTCAGTCATATACTATAAAGTTTAAAGAAGTATTATGTCAACTTAGAATAACATTTTACCTTTGCTTCTTCTGGTATGCTGTTTGCGTTCCCATCTTGCATTGTCTTGGTAATATTTTGGATTATTATGCAGTCTTGAACAATGAGTTTGTAAGCTTGTGTTTGTGGATGCTCAACTAACTTACCGCCAACAAAATTAACCTGCAAACATAGGATTACAGGCAAATATAAGGCTGTTCATGTACTTAATTAAGCACCATGCCACAAAAATATATGGAGGAATGGGTGTATAGCCACACAGCATTACATCACCTAACTTAAATTCTATACAGCCCAATTAACAGTAACCTACACAGATCAACAGCTGCTGTCTGTTAATGACACTGTATCCTCAATTGCTCATGTTATGTTGTTCCACATGAAGAATGTTACACAGTGGCAGTGGTGGTGGTTTTTGTGGTGTTAGTGGCACTGTGGTGGTGACAGTGATAGAAGTGGTGGCGGCGGCGGTGGTGGTGGCAGTGGGGGCAGTGGTGATCGCAGAAGCAGCAGTGGTGGTGGCAGTGGTGGCCTCAGCACAGGTGATAGTGGTGATGGCAGTAGCAGTGGTGGTGGTGGTGGTGGTGGCCTCAGCACAGGTGATAGTGGTGATGGCAGTAGCAGCAGTGGTGGTGGCGGTGGTGGCCTCAGCACAGGTGATAGTGGTGATGGCAGTAGCAGCAGTGGTGGTGGCGGTGGTGGCCTCAGCACAGGTGATAGTGGTGATGGCAGTAGCAGCAGTGGTGGTGGCGGTGGTGGCCTCAGCACAGGTGATAGTGGTGATGGCAGTAGCAGCAGTGGTGGTGGCGGTGGTGGCCTCAGCACAGGTGATAGTGGTGATGGCAGTAGCAGCAGTGGTGGTGGCGGTGGTGGCCTCAGCACAGGTGATAGTGGTGATGGCAGTAGCAGCAGTGGTGGTGGCGGTGGTGGCCTCAGCACAGGTGATAGTGGTGATGGCAGTAGCAGCAGTGGTGGTGGTGGTGATGGTAGTGGTCACAGCGGTAGTAGTGGTCATGGTGGTGGAGGTGGAGGCAGAAGTGGCGATGGCAGTGGCAGTGGAGGTGGGGGTAATGGTAGTGGTTATATCAATGACTGGAGAAATCAAGAGCAATAGGGGAGGAAACAGTTGTGATCAAATTTTAATTTTGCAATCCTCTGTGATATAACACTCAACACACAGCCACTTATTGTGGCCTTCAACATACATTCTCTTAAAACCATTTTATTTACAATGATTGTGTTTTTGGACATTATCCATAGCCCTGTTTTTTTTTTATTTAAAACGCAACGTTTCAGAGATTGGATTCTGTCTCTGACTACAGGTAAAAAGCCACTCAATTGAGCCCAATCAATACAGCTAATCCCTATCTCTGGATACCAGCACCAATGTTGTGTTTTAAATAAAAAAGAAAAAAAAAGAGGACAATGGATAATGTCCAATAATACAATAATTGTATTAATGCATCATCACAAACTTTTAGATCTTATTTTACCTTAAGTTATATGGTAAAAAACTTCATATAAACAATGGAATAAAAATTTAGGTATACTGACTTAACCAAGTACCCAGACATGTTCCTTAGCACTGAACCAAGTACCCAGACATGTTCCTTAGCACTGAACTTAGCTATTAAGCATGGTAAGAAAAAAGGAAACACGTATGCTTAACAGATCAATGGGCCTTCAGTTACGAATGCAAAGATGTTGAAGCCCAAAGTTCAATGAAGTTTTTCAAGAAAGATACAGTCTTAGACTACAGTTAGATATGTCATACTTTCTATGGGTATTTGCTCTAATAANCTGTAACAGTGAAGCAGGCCCTATTATTGAAACCAAGAATCGGGCTAAGTCACCCTTGAGTGTTCCTTGCTANTACTAAACTAGCTTTAAAAAAAACAAATAAGTTTCCTAGAATATATTATAGGAAAATAGCTCAACATGATTTTTTGGTCACGTTATGTTACTAGTAAATATTCAAATTTTTAAAAATTATGTGGATATAATTACACACAATAAGAGCTTTGATGAAATTACTTAGTGAAAAGGTATATATATGGAGAACCTACCTCTTATAAACTAAGCTACAATTAAAGTTGGCAAATATGTGATAATACATTACATTTCTATAACCATAAAACTTGGAAATAATAATGTATTACAGCACTCACTGGCCTCACTTTGGGTGGTGGAACTGGTATCATATCAAGAAAGAAAGAATCAGTGGGATGTTCCATGTCACAGCTTTCCAACAATGGTGAAAGGGCACTCATGAATTCCTTTTCATTCTTCCAAATCTTACGTAAATGATCCCTAACAAGAAAATAAAGAAATGTTAAAATCAATTTAAAATCTCCTTAATCTTATCAAATACAGTGGTTACTATAGTTAATGCCTCGTAACTTTGGCTGCGCAAAAAGGTAAACGCTGTTGTGGAGCATGTGAAGCTGTACGCTTGCTGTGGTGACGTTCAGAGCTACTTCCCAAGCGGAAAACATTGCCTACGGAGACCAGGAGTAGATACGGTGGAATCGATACAGTGCGGCAGAGGGAAAGCACTAGCTTATTGCACTTCCGGCCAGCATGACAGTACAATCGCTATGACTGGTACCAACTAACAAGCAACACAATGTACTACACACCTGACCACACTCCAAGATGCTATATTCCAAACTGGTAGTACCCATGCTGACACAAGCTGATAAGACTGATCCCCCATCTCCAAGAGATGGTATGACCCCTGTACCACAGCTAGAGTTCCGAGGAACTAACAGTATGTGTACCACCCACTTTAACATTATGCACACTGCTTTTTGCCTGTTAAGTGTACAGTAAACTCTCTATTTAACGTTTCTTTGGGAAGCAGTGAATTTGAACACTAAACTGAGAAATACTTTAAATGGAGATAACTTAACACTGAGTTTACCAAGTTGGGGTCACTGAGGCTGTACATTAAACAAGGAAAAACCTTAAATTGAAGAACATTAAATTAGAGCTGCAATGCATTTATGGGTTTCATATAATTCTGAAAACAAAGAAGGACTGGCTTTCTACATAGCATTAACCAACACGACATTGTAACAGCCATGAAGTTTGTTTTCTGTGAGGTATGTGATATTTTTTTTAAATATTACTTAGATGAGCTTCTAGCTTCAAAAGGTTAATAGGGTTATAAAGTATGATAAAATATGTTTTTTTCTTTTTTCCTCGCATCTGGAGGAACAGTTTCATTAGAATTTTGTTCATTACATTCCAGACTCTACAGGGAAAATGTACAAATATTTTAAACTATTACTATAGATGAAGACTTCATAGAAATGTTTTAGCTTGTCATAGACCAGATCCCTTCAGAGGTCACCATATTTTTTAACAAATTTCTTTGAAACCAGTTTTAAAATGGCATCAGCTTGGTTAAGAGAAACATAACCTAGACAATACTGCAACTGGAGGGGGGAGGGGGGTAGAGAGAGAGATTTTGTGTGTGTGTGCATGAGAGAGAGAGAGAGAGAGTTAAGTGTGCAAGTGGGTGCATATCACATGCAAGCCAAAATTATTTTTAACTGTTTACTACCAATAAATTTATCTAGATAACAAGCTGCTCTTTCCATGACACAATGTTATTGTTGAATCAAACGTTTACACAGTATTTATGTGTAGGTAAGGAGGGAACTGATTCCAAATGGAAGCCCAACAATCCCATCCCCCCCCCAATACACTCCCTTTCCAAATCCATAGCAATAGATGTAAATAAGCCCAGTATAGACAAGCATGGCTGAATTCCAGCACTAGTTGATCTGCTCCATTTTTGCTACACCATTTCCATAAGAACTGCTTATCTCTAATTCACAGCTTAGACACCTGGTGATAATACCAAGAACCACCATTAAATCTGCTCCTAGATCAATTAATGAATCTTGTATTACTGAGCAATAGCTGTACTGATCATACAGGTGGTACCAGCTAGGACACAATCAGTGCAGTGCATTTTCAAAACATAATTCAGGATCACTGACTACTACAGTGTAACATTAGGAGAGTATATTCACAGCACAAGAAACGGTGTAGTCCATGAGAGGAAGGATGGCCCTAGGGTCGACTCTGTCTCTAATAGAAATGAGTACCAGAAGTACTCTTGAGTATACGTGGAGACCGCACCAAAAACACATATACAGGAAAAAATGACGTACAAAAACTAGGATGGCTGAAAAAAGAACACAATGACAGTATTCNAAGATAGTGTGAAGAGATTTAGTTGTAGGGTTTGAAAAGTGTGGAAACCCGTAACATTGTTATAATTAATTGTAGCCCTTGCATGTAGGTTGTTGAATAAACCAATTAACAATCTCTACGGCGTCTTCAGTAACGAAACACGTTACAATATCAAACCAGCAACTTTTTAATATTGTAACGTGTTTCGTTACTGAAGACGCCGTAGAGATGGTTAATTGGTTTATTTAACAATCTTCAAACAACGGCTACAATTAATTATCACAATGTTACGGGTTTCCACACTTTACAAACCCTAGAACGAAATCTCTTAACACTCTCTTCGAGAGTCTTCACGTACTAATAATGCGGGAGCTATACAAGTCTCCCTGAATTACACTCTCCAGATATGACTGGTGATCACTGGTTATCGCACACTCGCAGGCTGCTATGTTTCAACTGAAGTCGTCGACTGCTACGGTAGAACTGAGAAGTCGTTGATAACGCACTCAGCGACTGTCACAGTACAACTGACGTCGCTGACTGCTACAGTAGAACTAACTTGTACCAGCTGTGCAGCTCACTTATATAGCTGCAGTGCTTGCCGGTTGCATAATGAGTGCCACATCATCCTGTTACATCACCGCTGTTGACTCGCCTTGCATAGTTACCAGGTTGCGGGGGCTCGGCTATCTTCGGCTCC